GCAGCTGTAGCTGCAGTAGTAGAAGACTTGTGCACCCCTGATCTTTATACTGTATTTTAGGCTTGTCCCGATCCGATATTCGGATCGTATCGGCCGGCATGAGAAAATGCCGATCCAGACTCGAGATCTATTTTTTTAAAAGTCCGATCCCACCCGAGCATTAGCATTAGCATTAGCATCTGTAACCCACAGGTCTGTGTGAACTTTAGTTGTTATAAGAGTAAATCCCTGTTCAACATGAGTCTGACAACTAAGTAAGTAGATAAATAACTTTCAACTTTAATACAAAAAGCTGGATCAGGACATCCCTACTGCATTTCTACATAACAACATGATTTCTATAACCATAAAATAGTTATTGAGGGGTGAATTGATTCAGACGGAGCACCACTGAAGGCCTAGGTGTGAAATGCACGGTCCGCCACTGGTGCCCCCGTTCCCGGAGCCCCAAGAGTCCCCCAGGTCCGGGCCTGGCAACCGTAAGGGACCGCCCCCCGACCGGAGGGCACGCCACCGCCATAACAAGAGGAAAAAAAAAAAAGGAAAACTTCAGGCGCCTCCACAGCTACAGTTAAGTTATTATTTCCCAGTGCTTCCCAGTGCTCCCTGCTAATCTAAATACATCATGTTCTTTCCAAAGCAGAGGAGGACAAGTTTCCATCATTCGCTCTGAGAGTGGAAAAAAATTTGTTGGAGCAGAGAGATATTTAGTGGGGACATAAAATAAGCTGCACTATCCATCTACTGATTATCTAAATTTTTATTTCGGGGTAACGGGGCGCTGGAGCCTATCCCAGTGGTCAACGGGCGAGATTCAAGGCACACCCTGGAAAGTTTGCCAATCAGAGCTGGACCACTCTATAATGACACAAAAAGGTGTATTATGGATTTCAACTTACCTGCTGCAGGCGGCACGGTGGTGTGGTGGTTAGCACCGTCGCCTCCCAGCAAGAAGTTTGCATGTTCTCCCTGTGTGTGCGTGGGTTCTCTCTGGGTTCTCCAGCTTCCTCCTACAGTCCAAAAACCTGCATGTTAGGCTGATTGGAGATTGGGGAAATTGCCCTTAGGAGTGAATGTGAGTGTGTGTGGTTGTTTGTCCTTGTATGTCCTGTGTGTGGCCCTGCGATGGACTGGCGGACTGTCCAGGGTGTACCCTGCCTCTCGCCCGTTGACCACTGGGATATGCTCCAGTTCCCCCCGCGACCCCATCAGGGAATAAGCGGTTTGGATAATGAATGAATGAATGAACTTACCTGCTGCTTCTCATCATGGAGGGTTTGGGAACCCCAGATTTGTTCCATCAGAAAAGTGCTGAATTCCGAGAGACTGCAGACATTTTCACATGAAGTTGAAAGCATCATTAGTGAAAGACCTTTACACATTAAAACAGACAATCCTAACAGTCTTGAGCATTTTATGTCGAACAATCTGTTTCTGTTGAAAGGATAACCTACCTTTTTTCTGGAATGTTTGATAAGAAGGATGTCTACTCTCATTACAGGACCAACAAAAATGGCTTGAACAGAAAAGAAACTTCGAGGTCGGATATGTCGTTTTTGTTGCTAATTCATCCTTTCCGAGAAATTCTTGGATGTTGGGTTGGGTCATCAATGTCATGCCAGGCTCTGGAGGGACAGTCTGGTGTGCACAAGTCAAGATGAGAACAAGTTTCATCCAAGGCCAATTGCAAAGTTATGTTTGTGGCAAGGACAATAAAAACATATTTCATTGAACTAAGTTTAGAAAATATAATAACTTTATTTGAATATGTATCGCTCCAATTTAAGTTGAGTTAGAAATTGATTGAAAGCATTTGTTATTGTAGAAGTTTGGCACCCCAGGAGTAACACAGTCTGTTGGACGTCACTTTTCACTTTGATTTTTTTTTATCTGTATGTTTTTTCTGTTTCCTCACATCAAGTCTATTAAAGCAAAAAACATAATTGTTTGATTCATGAAAAAACGCTGTCATGGATGAAAGAGCTTAAAGGGACTAGACTAGTGAGAGCGTATTGCACTCCACCTTTAATGGATACATAATGGACTTATCCAAGTATCCTGAGCGTGGATATGTGCAAGAAACCATCTTGATGTGGAAATTACACCACTGTGTTGTAATCATCATTATCTTTATTACCATGAACACCAACAATTATAAGTACATAACTCAAACATGCTCAAAACATAGATGCAATTTTGAAATACTCTGCAGGGATCTGATCTCAACCATCTGAGCTACAGCCACCACATTTATAACCATGTACAATTATTGGGTTTAGGGTCCGGCACCTACATGACATTAAATAGTAGATATTGGAACTTCCAAACAGACAAATAAAAACAAGGGATCTGTCCCAGAAAAGGGAAGTTACCCATAATTTACCACGATTCCCATTTTTTACTTAGAATTATCCCATGTTGAAAATGTTTGCAATTCAATTAAAAAAGGTTTAGATCAATTTTATTTTGAAATGCACAAAAACAACAGCAAACAGCAACAGCAAAGTGATGCAAAAAACTAAATAAGATTATCTTTGTTTTAATTGCCATTTAATGAACTTGGAAAGACTTTTTTTAATCAAACCGATGTAATTGCACAATACTTCAATCATTATTATTTCAACAAAATAATATTTGAGATGGGAATTGTTGTGATTTGGGGCTACATTAACAAAACTGGATTAAACTGGATAGATTTAACTAATTTTTACTCGGAGTTACCGAAACACTTGTCTCTTTTAAATTTAACAAAGGTAATTTACATAATTCTTTACCTGATGTGTATGGAGGTTAACTCGACTTATAAATAAAATGTTGAATAATGCCATGATCATACATATAAAAAAGAGAGGAAATCATAAAACAGACGAACAAGCATAGAAAACCTTATGAACGAATGTGAAATAAATAATTATTTATTCCAAGACGGAAGAGGGGCTGAAATTTGAGTAATCCGAGTAGAGGGGCCACTTGAAGGGTTACTCCTCCCCTAAGGCTACAATCTTTCATTCCTGCCTAAAATGCATGCCTTTAGTTAACTCCTCTGTTTTGCAAGGCACTTAGAAATTGTGTAGCTGAAAATGAATTCTTTCGCAAAATGGGCGCTTATGTTATTTGTTGTCGTGTCGGTCATTCTTAACGTGATTCTAATCGGCATCTACTCGGTGAGGTTGCCTAAATGTCCTGCTCACCGTACACCCGCGACGCACAGCAAACATGATGAGCGGAGCCTCGTTTTTGCTGATCTCTCACCGGAGGAGTACGCGCAAGTCCAGCAGTACATGTTCAAGCAGAAAGGTTTGGATATATCCATTAACCAGATCACAAAGCCATCGGACAATTTTTTATTCTTGATAGACCTTTCTCTTCCAAGGAAAGTGGACTGTTTGGCTTATTTGGATGGAAAAGGCGCAAAACCTGAAAGGCTGGCTACAGTAGTGGTTTTCTTCGGTGCAAAAGGGCACATCAAGGAGTACGCGGTGGGGCCCCTTCCCCACCCAACTTACCACAGAGATGTCACAAAAGAGCGTTACCAAATGGATTTGCCTCTCAGTAAGCGCTTGGTGACCGTTGGGGAATACGCGCAGATTTTTCAGTTTATTGAGAATGAGGTTTTTTCTAAGCTGGAAAAGCTCTTGAAAGAGAGCTTCGATGTGAGTCCCGGGAAAACACTGAATGCTTTCGAACAAATGCCTCGTGGAGTCCGATCTGGGGACAGAAAGACTTGGATATCTTTCTTTAGAGATATGAGCGGTATGTACATTCATCCAGTGGGCTTCGAGGTACTTCTCAATCATGAGAATACAAACGCATCCCAATGGCGCATCGAGCGGCTGCTGTACAACGGCATATACTTTAAATCGGTGGAAGAACTTAAACAAAGTTATGACAGCGGATACGTGAAGAAAATCACTTATCAACACATTCCAGATTACGGCTCTCTTAAACCTAGAAAGAAACCTTCTCAGATCGGCCCACAGCAGTATTATGTGGAGGGGAGACGCTACAGCGTCAAGAACAACCATGTCATTTACTTGGACTGGACCTTTGCTTTTGGGCTGAGCGCTCTCACCGGCATGAGGGTCTTCGATGTGCGGTTTAATGGCGAAAGGATCGTTTACGAGCTGAGCGTGCAAGAGGCCATGTCTGTGTACGGTTCAGTGACACCGGGAATGATTCTCACAAAGTTTTTGGATTCGAGCATCGGGATAGGACGCTTCGCACACGAACTTGTCCGCGGTGTCGATTGCCCCTACGAAGCCTCCTATGTTGACACGTATCGCTACATCGATGTCCCTGCCCCAGTCAGGTTCAGGAATTCCATTTGCATCTTTGAACACAACATGGGTCAGCCCCTCCGGAGGCACTTCTCTGACTTTTTCCAGAATAGCTACGGAGGGATGGTGAACAGCGCATTAGTGTTGAGAACAATCACAGCCATAGGAAATTACGACTACATGTGGGATTTCATCTTTTATCAAAGTGGAACATTGGAAGCCAAAGTTCATGCCACCGGATACATTTCGTCCTCTTACTTGGTTGATGGCAGCTTAAAGTATGGGCATCAAGTAGCTAAAAATGTCCTGGGAAACATCCACACACATTTCATCAACTTCAAAGTGGACCTGGATGTAGTGGGTGAGTAACATCTTTCTTTATTTGCCATAGTTTTTTTTTTTTTTCACAGGGCAACACATAGACAAAAAGCCTTATATATATTCACATTCATTCCTATGGGAAACTTAGTCTTCAAAACAAAGGATAAAGAAAGTCAAGAAAACTTAATCAGACAAAACATTTTAAGATGATAACATTTTTGTATTTTGCATATACTGTATATTGTGTTTGTGAAAATTCAATAGCAATTGTTTTGGTAGAATTGCAGAATTAAAAGGCCTGTTAAGTTCAAATGGAATTCTTGAGGAACTAGGGAAAAAATATAAAATATAATACAGAAAGCATAAGAAATACAAAATAGAGATGCAATTAACAAAAAACACTTGTTTTCTGATCACATTTGAGAAATTTGAACTAATTGGTAAAGTTGTCTGCATGTTGATTTCATTGTATTTAGTTATTTTTTGTAAAGATATAGTATGTTGTGGGCCCAACAGTTACATTGCATTGCATTCAAATGTGACAATAAGGGTTAGCACACAGTGACATCCTTTTGAATTAGCCCATTTCTGTTGATTGTTTTTGTGATCTGATTATTTTTCGTCATTGTTATTCATTCCCTATCCACAGCTTCTGGCCATAGGTTGTGGCTGGAACATAGTGCTGAGTGCTGAATTGATAGCTTTGGCTTTCGGTTCTTTTCTGAACCACAACAAAAACCTACACCGTCTGTCTTTCTGCAGAGCAGCCACAGTCTGTCTGTTGGTTTTTTACTGTCTTAAACTGAATCTTAAATAAGAACTCAAAATTCTCCCCAAACATGTCTGTGCATGAGACAGTGAGTTTGTCCCAACCTGAATTAGACAATCAATTCAATTCAATTTTATTTATATAGCGCCACATCACAACAACAGTTGTCTCACAGCGGTTTGTCAAACAGAGCAGTTCAGACCGTACTCTGAGGTTAATTATAGAAACCCAACAATTCCCACCTTTTTTGTTTTTTTTACCATAGTTGATTCTCATCCCTGATGCTTGGTACTCAACTATAGGCTCATTTTCAGCTGAAGGTGTCCATTTTCAAGATAACAACAGTGCCTAATCATCTGTAAAACACATAGATCCTGAATGAAACTCTAACACTCTACCCCTTGGGTTACACTTAGAAAATCTTATAACACAATTGACAAAAAAAAGGAATTTGAGTCACTAAAAATAGGAAGCAATGTATCTGCTTGTTATACTGGAATTGATTAAGACCTGTAATACCTTAGAAAAAAATGATGAACTCATTCAGTTGTTTCTTAGAATAAATATAACTAAATAATGAAGACTCATGACAATTTAAAAAAATCATTGTTATACTAACTGTTAAACTTTTTTTCCTCTTCAGGTGTCAGGAATGTGTTCCAGACCAAAGATATGGAGTATGTTAATGTGTCTTTGCCATGGATACCTGATCGCTTTGCTATGGTTCCTCAACTCGTGGAAAGGCAGCTTCAAACAGAAAAGGTCTACTTTATTCTTAATTTGATTCTTTTCTTTTTTTTTTTTTGAGAAAAAAATACAGATTACAAAAATGTCATTTTATCATACAAAGTGCAATTGTTGAATGTTTACATAGTAATGTCCTCCTGCTTTCTCTAAGCTTCCTAGTGTAAAATTGTGAAACAGAAGGAGGGAATGAAACAGCCCGATTAACAGATTTTTAATTTATAACCCAAAAGGAACACATCATTATTTGCAGTATTATCAATGTTTTTATGAAATAGAATAACACTTGTGATATTAGAGTCATTTATGTCTCAAGTAGATAACTTTATAGAAAAAATAGTACTTGAACTCACCATTGCAGCCCCCAATGGGGAATTTACAAAACAAAACAATATAAACACATTTAACGTGGATATGCAGGATATGCAGAATTCCCACCAATCACAGCAATATGAGATCCGTCTTGTACATTTTGATAACATTAAATACATATGTGGCCAAATCCGAATCTCCTCTGACAATGTGGTATCACTCTAAGCAGTGTCAAGGCCCTGCTCCCTGTTGTTTATTTAGTTATTTATTTGTTCAGAGAATGTAAAAAATATGAAACAATTTTCAAACTCTGTAATGTTAAAGAGTTAAGGATCCAGCTGCTCCAGTTTAGGCCAGTTTATGGTCTGTTAAAGGCGAATGAACAGCATCCGCACATAACTGTATTGCTGATCCAGGTGTGTTAGGGACAGTGTTGGGGAGTAACGGATTACATGTAACGACGTTACGTAATTTAATTACAAAAAAAGAGTAACTGTAATTCGTTACAGTTACAGTGAGAAAATATGTAATTCAGTTACAGTTACTTCCGAAAATATTAAGAATTACAAATTTAGTTACATTTTTTTTAAAATATAAAGAAAAACCTTTGCAAAATATGCAACTCACTGATAGACGAAGCGTATTGATTTACTAATATTTGACTGTTTGGTGTTGATGCATGAAAAAATATCTATGACCTAGCCTAGCCTAGCCTAGCATACCCAACTGTAGGGTGACCAGACGTCCTCTTTTTCCCGGACATGTCCTACATTTCAGACTAGGGTTGTCAAAAGTATCGATACTTCAAAAAGTATAGATACTAAAATGTTGTATCCGGATACGACTGACCTGCTGTCGCTTGTCTCCGATTTATTTACGTATTTATTTACGTTGTTTATGATCATTAACAAGACGTTAGCCTTGAACTGCTAGCTGCGGCCAATAGCTAATAATAACATGCTAAAATTAATCATGGGTTAATACTCATTAAAACCCTAAAGTAATCAAAAAGTAATCAAAAGTAATTAGTTACATTACTTTTTAAAAGTAATCGAAAAAGTTACACTACAATTACATTTTAAACAAGGTAACTTGTAACTGTAACGGATTACATTTTTAAAGTAACTTACCCAACACTGGTTAGGGACAGTGTCATGGCAGGAAAATTGGTGTTGGTCCATGGTAGAAGGGAATGTAGGAGGCTGTCCCAGGATAAGCTGTTAAAAGTCAGAGGCACCTGATTGCTGACTGTTTTAGCACAGGAATGATTATATCAGAGTCGTTGTCCTCAATGCACTATGTGGGATGGTTCTTTTCTTCTACAATGCCTTTTCTCAATTTGGACCTTGCTGTTTTGTAGGACTTCTTTATCACCTTCAGAAAGCTGCATCCCAAGCCTTCACAGAGTGATCAGAGCATGGTTGGGAAGTGTCCTTACTGTTCTCTGTGGTGGCTGTTGTGTGTGGCAGTCGTAAAAACGTCCCAGTTAATCTCCAAAAAGAGACATTGTCCCGATAACAAAGGATGTCATTTATCTCAGAAAGGTTTACTCTGCACTGCTCCTATTTAACACGTTTGCTGTTATAAGGACACAGACACTAAGATTATGTACTAAGCTAGCATGTTGAAAAACTAAATAGTTAAAGTTCTATCCAGCCAGAGGTAAATTCTCTAATTCGTATGCATGATATTTGGATAATGTGCATGGAAGTGTTGAGAATAGTTTATTCATTTTTCATAGGTAATGAGTTTGACCTATGCTTCTTAAAATTGTATTTAATTATTCATTACCTGTTTTATGGGGCAAATGTGATTCCACAGAGACTTTAATCATCTATTTTTTTTACATTTATTAAGACCACTTGTACAGGGCAGCACCCTGCGATTCCTTTTCTTTGAAACAGAAGAGACACTTTAAAGAACATAGCTTTTACATATGAACTTTTTTAAATATATGTTCAGTTGTCATAAAACATGCATTTACAAATTTATAGTCTTTGTTTTCTTTTATCAAGAAAAAAAAGCAAAATATTCATACTGACGAATGAATACTGTAAAACATTTTACTCTTTCAGCTTTATTTATTTAAAAGCTAAAGGTTGCAGATCTCTGTCCAATTAATTCTTTAACAGAGCTCCCACATGATGTCAGTCAGAAAGAGCCACATTTGGGACACATCTGGACCTTAGATGTACCCTTCGATGTAGATGGACTTCACATTCCTCTGAAATGCCAGTTTTCCAAAGAGTAAACTTTTGGTAAATGTTAATGTGTTACAATAACTATGGTATGTTCAGGGTCACCTGAGCCATTCCTAACTTCTAAAGGAAAACAGAGTGCCTGCTTCATAGACATATATTGTTAGCTGGCTAAATCAGTGAGGATCCCGATAAGAATCTATGGATGTAGATTTATTTAATGATAAAATAAGATAAGATATGTTTTGTAATTCCGTATTATGTGTTTTTTATTTTAAATGTTACATTTCTATTTTCTGCCCAGCGATTAGGGTCAAAATGAGGCAAAGCTTCATTGATCCAAATACCCAGACTTATTCATAGCATAAGTTTGAATATTGCAAATATATTTGAATATTAGAATTTGATGAAATACTTATTAATTCTCATGAATTTCTTATTGTGTGAAGGGACAATGGGAATAAATAGCCTGCAATAACTCTCCCTGTGTTGAGTTGAGTGAGTCTCAGTCCTATCTCTATAGAGCTTTTCAGTTTAACTGACTATCTGACACCTCCTTTATGGGGTCCATTTGCGGTCTTGCATTAGAGCTGACTCTCCTAATACATTTGTTGTCACCCTTCCTTCCCTGCTGCCTCTTGCCCAGCTAACTGCGGCATAGTGAACCACAAAGGCCACCACAGTGTCATAGAAAATGTCAGCTCATAACAAAGGCCATCATTCTTCACAACATTTTTTTTGCCAATGGAGGCTTTATTGGTGAAAAGCCCCCCTTGATAATCCGACGTTTGTATGTATCCAATAATGCCAAAACTGACAGTGGGACAGGGAAGAAGGAAGAGCAAAGAAAAACAAACCCGAAAAGGAGAATGATCCTTTAGACAGAAAGAAAACTGAAAAAAGAAAGACAACAAAACTATACAACCAGCTTCCACCTCTGTACAAAATAAACAAAAACACCCAGTGGTTTCTTGTGGGCTAAAAGTCAGTGTTATCAGATCAGTCCAGTTTATCATCAATTTAATTTAATCTCTGGACCATCTCTATGTTAGACCGTTAAGTGAATATGGGGTGAAGGACAGGAGTGATTAACAATTTTTTATTTTATCTTACTGATGCTCAGATGTAAGATACTCTGTCAAAATCACACCTGTATTCTTGTTGTGTCCATGTGACCAACAGTGGCTATATCATCAGATAACTTGTGCATGTGACAGTCAGATTTGTTGTGGTGGAAGTGTGAAATGGAGATAGCCTTGATTATTACCCTGTTTTGTCATATGCATACATTTTTCTATTGTAAAGGAATAGACAGTTGAATTTTCCTTGGAGATAAACAAACACGCTATCTATCTGGCTATTTGTCTATCAAGCATTTAGGGAAAAAAGACAAGTAGTCTTATTTAATTTGTGTACACTATGTGCCTACCTACTGTATAGCCTACGATTCATTAGGATCTGAGATTACAGGGCATCTAAAAACAAAAAATAACATGCAACAATCTTGCATCAAAAATATTTGACAAATGCACCAGTGTCATTTTTTTTTCCAATTCAGTGACTAAACATTTTATTTACAGTGCAGAATTGAATATTATTTATCTGAAATTTAATCAATTTAATCTTAATGCACATAGTATCTTAATATCTTCACGTCTTAATGTATATGATAGTAATTTTATAATTGCTAACTATTTAAGCTGTATTTATTTTCACCTTGTATCGAAAGTGTCGCACAGCAATTTCTCAAGGGATAAATAAAGCTTTTTGAATCATGAATCTTATTTTGCTCTTGGATTTTTCCACTGTGATATTCAGTACCTAACCTAGAAGTGTGGTCAAAGAGAATATAGATTAGTGAAACATTCATTACAAATTTGTGATTTTTTTAAGAATATTGTGTTTGGCAAATTGTATTACCACATCATGAATACAGACATTATTAATCATGTGAATGGAAGTTATATTCAATAGATAAATAAATGTGTTTATTTGAGGCTACATATGTTGAGTTATAGATTTAATCAATTTTTTGTGTTTTGTATTTCAAGTTTTATAGAATAAATGACATTTATTTTCATTTGGCACACTTCACCCTCCACAGTAATATAACAAAAAAAAATGAAATTAATTAACTGTGGGTAACAAAGTTAGCATTATTTATAGTATAGATTTCTGCAGCTTATACGTTTCACATCAAATTAAATTGGGAAGTGGTTTACAGTTGAATGAAATTAGATTAGATATCCAATGTTCCTTTTTAGAAAGCTTTTTCCAGTTTTTGTTTTCTGATTTCTGTCTTCTCCACTGTAATATCTGTACAGGAAGCTGCCCTCCGTCATGATACAAAGACACCTCGCTACCTTCACATAGCCAGCAATACAACCAATCGCTGGGGACATCAGCGTTCTTACAGACTCCAGGTGCTGAGTTTCACAGGGGATCACTTACCAGAGAGCCAACCTGAGGAGAGGTCAATGTCCTGGGCCAGGTAAAGACATGGAAGCTTCGAAAGTAAAATCCTCCGTTATGTAGTAATGAGCAAATTTATAATATACGGAATTTTTTCATGGTGAGAAAATATTGATGTGTTTTGAAAGTTAGGTGAGAATAGTGTCTTAGAAGAAGGTGAGCATTAAAAATAATTAGCAAAATGTCTGGACCGATGCACTGGACCACAAAGCATGCATGTTATCATTGACTGTGAGCAGATGAGTGGAAGACCCATCTCAAACATTCTTTGTCCTGTATATTGTATAAGTATTATAAAGGCGTTAAAACATATTTGCAGCCAATTTTATTATCTGAGTTAGTGCCGTGTCAAGTGACAGTTCTATCTATCTATCTATCTATCTATCTATCTATCTATCTATCTATCT